GAAGAGCAGACAGCAACAGAAACACAAGAACATCCCCAGCATTAAGCTACTGTGTAAATCTACATTGTGCCCAACACCTGGAGTCCTGCATGCAGTTCTTTCTCCATCTCAAAGAAAATAACAGGAGGCCCAGAGAGGGGCAAGAATCATGAGAGGTTAGAAATTATTTTAATATCAGGATGAATACGGAGTCTTGAGATAGCTGAAGCCTTTAAAACGATCAATGGGGCAGAGACTAGGAATAAGAAAAGAGCTGATTGTATTTCTCACAATGCATGAGTAAAGAGCCCTCAATGAATTTATTGTTTAATAAGTTTAAAAGGGAAAAAAAAACAAACAAAAAAAGAAAAGAAAAAAAGAAAAGAAAAGAAAAGAAAAGAAAAGAAAAGAAAAGAAAAGAAAAGAAAAGAAAAGAAAAGAAAAGAAAAGAAAAGAAAAGAAAAGAAAAGAAAAGAAAAGAAAAGAAAAGAAAAGAAAAGAAAAGAAAAGAAAGAAAGAAAAGAAAAGAAAAGAAAAGAAAAGAAAAGAAAAGAAAAGAAAAGAAAAGAAAAGAAAGAAAGAAAAGAAAAGAAAAGAAAAGAAAGAAAGAAAAGAAAAGAAAAGAAAAGAAAGAAAGAAAAGAAAAGAAAAGAAAAGAAAGAAAGAAAAGAAAAGAAAAGAAAAGAAAAGAAAAGAAAAGAAAAGAAAAGAAAAGAAAAGAAAAGAAAAGAAAAGAAAAGAAAAGAAAAGAAAAGAAAAGAAAAGAAAAGAAAAGAAAAGAAAAGAAAAGAAAAGAAAAGTGTAATGCCTGATGAGTTTGTAGGATTCACTACATGAGTTCCAGCAGTGTAAGTTGGTTCAAAAGGGAGCTTGGAGAAGTTTAAGCCTGAAGTAGGTATCCTGGAGGCCTTTACACAGGGTGGGTCAGATACAGCTGTTGAGATCTACCTTGCTCCTGCTTAATTTCCCTATGCACCCACCACTGGGGGACAAGAGGAAGGTGGGCAACGTAAGGCTGCAGCCTGACCTGGGGAAGCAGTTTTTCATCTCCTGATCATGGCTGTGATTGCAGATCCTGTGGGGTATAGCCAGGTAGGTGCATGTCACTCAGCATAGCTGAGATGGGTGCCCAAATACTGAAACACCAAGTGAAGCTTTATGAGTTGATACAGAAACACAGCAGGTGACCATAGATGGTGGTTAGCTGTCTGTACCCCATGATCCAATCAGTTGCTCTAGTATAAAATATAATGCATATAACATAGTGCATTGTGACTGAAACTGCAACTGGTAACTCTGTAACACTAAGCATAATATCTAAAAATTACACTTTGTTTTCATTTCCATTTGAGTAAAATCTATGCTCAGCTGCATGAGGGTCATAAGGTCAAATTCTGATAAATGTCATTTGAAGATTTACTGTTTGCTGTAAAAATAGTAAGTGCAAGAGATCTCCCTCCACACCCCTTTATTTTTCCATTTTAAGAAGAAATACACAGAAGCTCCAATGTATCAGGGACAGCACTGTAAAGAATGTTTTCACAGCAAGATTTCTGAAATGGGTGTCTGGCCAAAGCAAAATTTTAATCAGCTAAGTCTGTATGTCACATAGGGAATAAGCAGTTATCAACACACAAAAGTTATGATTCCTAGAAATGTTTTATAGGGCACTCCTGCTCCTTTAATTGCATCTCTATTTAAATCTGTCTTAGCATCATGCATGTTTTCTTTCCTATCCACAAACTCTTTTTTTCTATATCTGTTCTCTTCTGAAGTCTATAATCAAGTTTCAATTGGATCTTTAAATGCAGAGTTGTGCTTTGGTAAAATAAAACACCAAAAGCATAGCTGCTTTTCACAGTTTTCTTCATTTAGCCTGCCAGAGAAAATCAAATAAAAAATAATCAGCACTGTCACTTGAAGAAAAGAAAGAAAGAGAGAAGAAAGAAAGAGAAATACTTAAGATGGGCCTTAGCCAGGAGCATTTTATCCTTTATTCATCAGTGGTAAATGAGTCAGATATGAGTTGGCCAGGAAAAGAGCTGCTTTGCCCAAAATCTGAGTTTAAAGTGAGTCATCTCACTCCAAACACCAATGTATCCTCCAACATAACTGGCAAGAGTTTCCCGCAAAGAGATTCTTGCTGCCACTCTCTTCATCTGGAGGCCTGACCATCCAAAGCTGAAGTCAACAGGATCTCTACCAGCAATTCAGCAAAACAAGGTTAGAGATGCAGGCCAGAATAAGCCTGGCTGACCTTGGTGGGAATTAAAAGAAAGTAAATTAGTTCCTGCCATAATGACTGAACCTTTCAGGATGCCCTGTCAGCCCTCGTGCTCTCTACTCTGATCCCCCACTACCTGTCACACTCACTTTCTGAAGTTAACATGCAATGCAAAGGCTTGCAACTGGTCTTCAGAGGGTGGCCCCTACCTATAATGTGGGAAGGAGAAGTGCATTTAAAATGGCCTTGTCAAGGGGACTTCAGAGCCCCCAAGCGTCCTCATGTTGCTGCAGCCCTGTCATTTGCCATGGAAAGGGACTGAAGAAGAACTGGTGCATACTTGGCCCTTAATTACAACAAACATAACAAATAGGAAAAAGCAAAGTTGGACTCATCACAACATTACTGCAGATCGTGTTGGTATGTAACTAAGAAATGAACAGCATGTTTTTGTGAAATGAATGAAACTGTACTGGTGTGAAACAAGAGCCTGCAATGTCAAATCTGTTCCTGGATTTATAATTCTGTGCTGGACTTTCATTCATGCTTGAAGTACAGCCAGGTCCTCTCAGGTCACCCTGCAACTCAGAGGACTGTGGCCTCAAAATTAGACCTTCAGGGTCACCATTTTTTATCCTATGTTTGTCTTTGCATTCAGCTGGAATAAAACAAAGAGAATGATGTTCCGAAGCCTCAGAAAACCTAACTATCAATTTTAGCCCAGTGGGACAGCACTTATGTTGTCCTGTCACTCTCTGATGGCAATCTGGCTTCGGGTGACTTCTTTGTGGGTTACAAATGTGGAAACAGAATTAGGAGTGCCTGCTTGCATAGGGGCTTTTTTGTGCTGCTGAAAAACCTCTGCAGCACCATGAAGATATTTCAAACGAAACCATTTTTCCACACAACAATTCATCATGATGGATTCATCCCTGTAAGAGTCCAGAGCTGATGAAGTGTAATGAATCTGGCAGCCACATGAATTCTGCTTGTGTACATTTCAGCACATCCGTTTGTTGTTTTTTTTCCATTTCTCTCAGCTCCGCTTTGAAATTCTGTTTTCAGAATGGGTGGAAACTGTCACAGGTTATCAGTAGATAGGTAATAAATTAAGTAATTAAGTGTAGCGTCAGTCAAAGGGTTATTTTGTTCAAGTCATGTAGGATCAACTGTTGCTCTTAATGACTGTAGTTTTAAGTGAGTGGAGGCGTTAAATTCTTGGTTATTCTGAGCAACATAAAAATACTCAAAATTAACCACACCCTTTTTAAAGACAATTTAAAACTTTGCTTTGTTTGACTGCACTAGTTTCAACACTTTAATGCAACTTTTTTATATTTTAGACCTGTGCATACACAAGCAGGCACCTTTCTGTCCCTGCCTGGTGCAAGTGCCTTGTAACCATCACAAGTTTATATAACAAACCTTACATTAGTTCTCAGCTGAGAACTGATCAGCACTGCCACTAATCTAAAATATCCCTCCTGTCTGTCACTGGATTCTTCCTTAAGATTTTATGAATTTGGTTGCAATAATACTAGCAAATAATAATACTACTTCAAACTTTATTAGCTAGCCCTGCTCCCCATGTCCTTTTGAACCACCTCTGTCAATTCAATTACAGATTAGTGCTCCCAGTGTTGTGAGAGATGTTTACTTCCAAACACATCCATAGGTTTAGCAGTGCTCTATCAGTTCAGATTAAAAGAAATGATGCAGGAGGCAAGAAAAAAATCAAGGATGCACATAAAAAAAGTAGCTGTCATGATGTAGGAGCCATGGATCTTTCTGGCTCAGCTGCCACCACCACTCTACCCACAGGTCCCTCCTTTCTCTCCTGTTATTATGTAGCTCTGCCCCGCAGCCCATGGGGATCTGATGAGTCTCCTTATAAGGCTCTTTTCTCCTTTCCTCCTCCTTCCCCTGTTTTCTCTGTGTGATGGAAACTAAGTGGTTCCACTGCATTTTGGGTCATCTTCTGTTGGAAAAGGCTAGGAAAGTTTGTCCTTAAAACAAGCAAATGGGAAACTCCAAGAACTTCTGCAGTGCTTTTTCTGACTCCTAAAGACTCATTGAAAAAATACTAGTTTGTAGATTACAGAGTTGAGCAGCTATCACTTTTTTTCATCTCTAATAGCGAAAAAGCCCAACAGCAGTGACTTTATTTTTTTCTCAACTTGTGAAACTGAAAGTTATCTTCATTAATGTAAAAAGCAGCTGGAAAAAGCAACATTATCATTCTTTGCTGCTGTGCCTTCAGCTTGGTACACAGAAAACTTTAGCCTTAATTCTGGTCAGGAATGCTTTAAATTTTATACTGGCACCATTCCATTGCTTCCAGGAAAGTATTTTTTAATGTCTAATACCATTTAATAATTATTTAAGTCCATCCTTATTAAATTTATCTGACAGTGTGTTAAATGCCTTCCTAGAAAATTAAAACTAAACCAGGTTTGAATAGCTTCCAATAAGAAGAGTACGGCTGATTACACTTGATAGTAATTTCTATTTTCCTCATATGGATATTGTACTTTCTATGTAGCACAGAGAATTAGACATGGGTAAAAAAACAAGGTTCTTGTACTAATCAAGAACCTTAGCAAAGAATCACACATGCCAAAAAAATACCCACTAGCATAGAATACCTTTGCTCCCAGTGGCCAGCTTGAATCCAGGGATAAACAATTCCAGGTACCTCAATTAGCAGATAATTTTGAAACAACCTTTTGTTTAGTTGTCTTCATCTCACTTGACAGGCATGAAAGCCTTGTTCGCTGCAATAATTGCATTGGCTTACCTGCTACCTTCCTGAGGCCCACACTGCTCCACATCCACTGAAAGAGAGGCCATCGCAGACACTGTTTCTGTCTCCTCCCTTTCTCTTTTCTGAGACTCTGCCAGAGCACAATCCACTGGCACAGAGTATGGCTCCACTGACTTCCAGTACTTGCCTAAGGAAAACACACATAATAATTTATGGGAATTTTAGCTAGCATGGTGGCACAAGCATAGTAATCACTTAGTTCAACACTGGGTGATTATAATTTAAAAACACTGTGGTGGAAGCAGTACAGTTGAAATTTCAGACTGCAGTGAAGAGGTATATTTCTGAAACTAAGAATGCCAAGTTGGAAAGTGCTTTCATTCCAAGGGCTGTGTCACAACCTTCCCCAGAAGGTAATAAACTGGAGGAGTAACACAGAGACTAATGAACTCATACAGCCAGACAAGCTATTGGCTTTATCTACACAAGGTGAAGGGAGTTCAAGGCAGGGTTAATACCTAGAAGCTTTGATATGGCAGACAGTTGATGCATATGCAGCAAATAGGACTAGAAAAATGAGCATTGTTGTACAAAGTGCTCACACAGTACTGTCTTGAAAAGGAAAAAAGTCAGAAATGCCAGCTCATACTGAAGCGATGTTGCCAGAACAATCAGGTTTGTTAGTCCTGGATGTTCTTTCTCTTCCAACCTCAGGGCGTATACTAGAACAAGAATTTATTTTAAACTTTCATATATGAACTAGCTGTTGCTGGAAAGCTGCCAGATGTCATAAGGAATAGAGTTCTCTGGTTTGCTGTGTAAAAACACAGTGGTGGATTAGAAGCATCAGTAACCTCAACTTTCTGCCTGCAACAGAAGAGACAGCAAGAAGCTTCTCGAGCAACACAAACTATAGTGGCAGGTGGCTCGTTGTAAATATATAAATATAAACGTATAAATGTATAAAATAAATGTTTTGCTACTCCAGTGCTATTAAGAAATGGAGGTTGATTAGTAATAACCAAGTGAACAAGTAAGAATTTACATATGCATCTCTTACACTCTGGTAATCCACTGAGCACTCACTAATTGCCAGGTGGATGACACCTGGAAACGAGGAGCTTTGAGAAGGCTGGGAGCTCTGAACCAGAGGCTGGTCAGTGTTAGCAAGAAGCTTCCAGCAGCTGCTGCAAAGGTTGGATCAGAATACTTATCTGGGAATTAGACAGAGGGTTTCAACAGCTGTGAAAAAGAGGGGATCAAGCAGGGGTCTTTTCCGAGGGCTAAAAGGAGGATTTTCGCAGCTGGGCAGCAGGCTGAGTCGAGGTGCTTATCCAGAGGGTAGCTGGAGGCTTTGACAGCTGGGAGGCCAGGCCAGAAGTGGTGCTGCCTGTGCTGCACAAAGGCTGCTGAAAACTCCCTCTTTGGTAACACAGCTCTCAACAAAGTTTCAGGCTTTTCGAAAGATGAACTTTTCCCTCCAGTGAGAAAGCAGCTGTCAATAAAGGCTAAAAATGTCTTTATTCAAAAACATCCCTGCAAGATGAAAGCCCAAGTCAATCTGCAAGAACAACCAGCGAGCATAGCCAGCGTGTTTCTTTGAACTCTAATAGTGAGCACGTTTGAGTAGTTAGCAGAATCTTTAAATAACGGGGACCTTCTGGGGATAAAATGTAAAGTGTATTAAGTATCCTACAAAGTTGAGATTAAGAGTTAGGAGGTTGGCTTTGCTCCAGCAGCATGAAAGACACAGCTAAAAAGTTATGTACATAACAGTAGGCTCAATGATTGGAGCCTGGCAAATTTTATAAAAACATGACAAAAATATTCTTTATTATTGCTGTGCTCAGAGACCATATTCCCTGTTCATTAAAAAATACACTAAAAACAAACAAAAAAGTTATATTAGCATTCCACAATGTTCTCACAGATCATGTGTGCAAAAGTCAGTCTTTGCAATATACACCCAATTCAAACCCTATAATTTATGAGCTAAATGTTCGCAGAGTGGGTGGGGTTTTTGTTGCAGAAACAGATGTGCAAGAAAATCAAATCTCTTGGCATGGGAATAATACCCCCTCTTGCCTATAAAAGAAATGAACCCATGTTCACTGCTGGAGTTTTCAAGGGCTCTTATTCATAAAATAAAATATTAGTAACCAGCTACCACTGTGTTGCTCTCCTGCAGCAACCATAAAACAGCATCAGTGAGGATTGCTACATCGCCGTCCTTCGTTCACACACAGGCTTGCACACCAGCTGCCCCCTGAATCCTAACTTTGTTGTAACACTAAAACTCAGGGCCAACTCAAGCATATTAGAGGGCTCTCTGTGCCCATTTAACTGCCTTTCACTCCTCAGTGATCAGTGATTTTCCTTGTTTCCCTGCATAGAGAATTGTATTAAGAGAGGGGCTACTGCAATAGAGGGAGACCAGTCAGGCCGAGAACCAGGTGGCAGCACCTATGCTGCAGTAGAGGGTCTTGGAAAGGGGGAGTAGGTGGCTGGGTGTTTGTGGTTTGTGGGAGGAAACTTTAAAGCAGTCCCAATTAGGAATTGCATCGAGGTAGCACTGGGTACCGCATGCAAAGAGGGTTTTCTGATGCTTTTGAAAAAGCAATCATAGATTTTTTTTAAAAATCTGAAAACTGTATTTTCCATCCACCTGTGGTAAGCAGAACAGCTTTGCAAGCTTTTTTTTATACAGGGAAACATTTATATGCTTTACACTAAACATATAGGGCTTGCATGTGTGTTCAGCCAAAAGATTTGCAGGCAAACTCTTGTGGAACAGAGAGGCAATCACAGCATGAAGCTGCAAAGGAACTTGTTTAGAAACGCTAGGTATGCTGTGGATTGACAATTAAATGAGCTCAAAAAGCATCTGCCTCGAACTGCTCACATCTCTGAAAATGCCATTTCTACTGTGCTGTACTGGAATGTGTAATTCTACCGGTCCTGTTACATTCATTGAGAAGAACTTGGTGGAGCTCAGGGGAAAGAATGAAACATACTGCTGGTTTCATTCATACAAAACTTGAAGAGCAATCACAGCTTGCAAGAATAAACAATGAAACCAAATCAGTCTTCTAGGTATACTTTGGCTTTCAGCATGAAAATGTGCTTAAGTCTCCCTCAAAGATTTGTGGGAGCACTGATTATTACCAGGAAATAACAAAAGGGGATGTTTCTGTCAGTGTTACAGGCATTTGTGATTGCCTTTCACAGATAGATTTGAACACGCTGTATCACAGCTTGCTCGAAAAAAACAAACAGTTTGGGGGTTGTATTCAAGCTAGTGAACAGGATTGTTTAGAAACAGCATATTACATGAGTATGGGAATTACTATTTCCAAATGTATTACATTTCTAAAGGAGCTTTGGATCACTGTCACATACAAAGCATCTACACAAATTCCATTCTTGTTAGAAAAAGTTTTTTCCTCTCATTGTCTCACTAAGTATTGTATCTTCAGGTTTGGGGTTTTTTTGCAAGAAACACAGAGGAAGGACCTTTTTCTTTTGGTCTGAAATATTGATGCCATTCATTAAGAATGTTGGATCACCGATATATAGACCAAATATACACAAAAGCCATAATCCAAACAAATCCAGCTTTCCCAGTATCTCCTGAGGTGTTACTCCATAGCCCAATGCTTTTCAACTCTATAACATGTACTCGCTTCTCTTAATTCCATTTTGAAACATATCCTCTATAAGGGTGCACTGAATTTACTCAATGCTGCTTTCTGTCATTCAAGAATATTCCTTTCTAATACATGGTCTCTTTCCAGACAAAATTAGGTATGCATAACTTTATAGGTAATAGCTGCAAGAGAAGAGAGAATTTTGTGTATAAATAACTCCAAAACCTGAGCAGGCTGACTTAGGTTTCAGAAGAAGAGCCCACTGGTGTACCATGACTGCACCAGTTCAGCTCAAACCAAAGTGTGGCAAAATGAAGCCACTCTGCAGAGCTCTGGACCATGTTTTTAGACAAAAACTATATATTTGTTCCTAAATCCATTCCTTCTTTCTGAACTGCCAGCATTTGTGTGCATTTCTAGTAAGACACTATGACTTTTTAGAGTCAGTATTATTTTTTTTGTTTCACCCTTTTTTGTTTGTTTGTTTGTTTGTTTCAGATGTATTTTTTATTAAATGCCTGTCTTTTTCCGAACAGAATTGCATATCCTCTCCTCATGTCCATGGCCTATGTGCAGCTTGTGGTCCTTATTATAATTCATTAATCTGATTCCTTCCAGATCATTTACAGATTATTAACAGGGAATTTTAAGGAATATACTAACTCATCAACTACCCTAGGACACACCACTCAGCAAAGAATTATTTACTGGATTTTATAATATACAGCTGATTTACTTAGAGCATTTGTATATCTAGGTGACTACTGCATATGAAAGATGACTTATGTACCCACAATCAATTTTCTTTGTCACTTTACAACTAAAATCAGATTGAGAGGTACTGCATGATCAGTGGATAATGCATGGTGTCCCTTTTAAAAATGGGTTTTATTTGATATAGAGGAATCCAAACTAATTTTTATTTATCTAATATGAAGAAAAACATTTCTTATCCATTCCTTATTGTTAAGGAGCCAGCAAAGAGTAGAAGTCAGGAAGAGGAAGTCCCACTGCCTTGGTAAAATGGCAAATAACAGGAGTTTAAGAGAAATTAAAGTTAAGAGAAATCTGTGCAATCAGATCAAGGCAACTGATGGCAAAGGGAAAATATTTCAGCAAGACCAGAGCAAATACTCTTAAGCATCTGAGTAGCAAAAGGTTAGGGTCAGGACACACATGTGAAGCAATCAAGCACTTTCTACACCAGAAACAGAATCAAATAATGGATTTGTTAACATGGCTCCATGCATCAGTGCCCATTTTAAGTTTTAACTTTATCTCGAGCTTCTATACATCTCAAAGTGAGCAACTTGTAAAGAGTTGTACAAACAGAATCTGGAGACAGTAGTTGTTAGAGCCCTAATTTACCTGTGTGTTTCTGTCCCTCACAGACCAACATCTATTTCATCCAAGCTGCTCTGGAATTGAAAGGTTTGGGAATATTCAGGAATCAGCAAGCTCTAAATAATTTAAATAGCTTAGGTTTTCAGGGCTAAATACATAGCAGAAGCACAGAGATGTAAAAAAAAACAAAACAAAAAATAAAAGCATATATACATATACACAGACACACACACATTGGCTCATACATAAAACATTTCCACAATCTTTTCTCTGAAACAATAGTTTGATGTCTATGACATTAATTAATCATAAAAAATACCCCAAAACCACTAACCCAAACTGAGAAACATACTTTGAATTTCAGTGGTCTTTTTTAAAGAAGCTATTGCATTCATATTTGGGATTTGATGCACAATATCTTCCGGGAGAGGCTCCAGCTGCAAGAATAGAATAGAATAATATAAATTTCCAATAAGCCACAGGGAAGTAAAACAAACTAAAACAATCTAATCCTCAGGAAAAGCTTAGTCCAAGAACTGGTTAACATTTTGCTGGTATCAGTTCTAAAAGTATAGCCATGATTTTGTTTTCCGTTTTCCAGCCATGTAATTGAATTCCAAGGGGCTTTTCTATTGGCTGCAAGACTAATCTATAGAGTCTCTGAAGCAGGTGCATGTCTGTGTATTATTCATTAAAAAAATGCTAGTTATTTGTGTAAGTTTTGTAGGTTCCTCACAAACCAAATTCCACTGTGTCTGTATACGCAGCTGGGCACTCCAAACAAAACTGAGATGAAGCCACACTGGAACTGAAGTGTACATTCTATTATCTTTATTTTTCTAGTGTTATTACATCTCACCATCTTACACATTTTAAAGTTTATAGGGGAAAACCATAAAACACAGCTACTTTTACTGGCTTTGCATTAATTTCAAGTCAAGTAGTAGATAAAAATGGTTATGCAGATCAGCAGATCAGTTCTTTAAGTTTTTTATATAGCTGCATTTTAATTAGCCAGTTTTAATTGTATGTTCTTTGAGTAGGATGGCATCATAGTAAATTAGCAGAAGGAAGTGTTCACTTACTATACAGTTATTTTGAAAAGGATAGATATCAAGCAAGCTGCATTTTGAATTTCAACCACATGCTTTTTTTGTCCACCTTCCATGTTTTCTCCCAGAAAAATGGTGAAACATTGTTTGGGCTAAATGCCTCCCCTTGTACTGTAATAATTAAAGTCCCCTTGAACTACACTTAGAAAGCAGCCAGTTTCTCTGCTTCCCCACACAGGCTGTTAAGACTGAGCTGGTGCTGTGCTTCCTGCAGAGCCAGCAGTAGCAACCACGTCAAGGTAGGCAAGAAGGAGAAATATCAGTGCTAAATAATACTCCTCTCTAAATCCAAGAAAGTTCAACCACTGTTGACAGGAGACATCTGTCCTGCAGACAAAACTCCTTTCTTAAGCATGCCTGGGTCTACTTTAAACTAGGTCAAGCAAAGCCCACCCAAGGAGCTTCCTCTGTGAAGTTAATAGTTCAGTAGACATCACGTATTGTCCTCCAGTTTGCTACCACTGCACTGCTGCCCAACAACTAGATAAAATCAGCTTTGACCCAAGTACACAAAGTGGGAAGTAACTGCAGTGTAGATACTCCCTCACTGGTGCTATTTTAAGCAAGCTCAGTGACAAATTCTAGAACTTCTGGGATCCCAACACTGGGATCAGCAGTGAATGCCTGTCAGTGATAAAGACACTGCAAATATCACCAGTCTTTTGGAGTCTTGGTAAGTAAAATGAATAGAGCTGTTCATGTCATTATTTCCCTAGAATCTCATATGGGATTGCAGCTGGAAAGCACTATGTTTTGAGCATAAATCACTCCATTCTGGGCAGGGACCAAGTGTGCAGAGAAGTGCTGGTAGGACCTGAATGGGTCCCAACTCTACTTGTTTACCGAGGAGGCCAAATTGCAAAGGAAGATTGTTGCTATTTAACATGTATAAAGGATTAGAACAAAGAGAGCAATTACAATAAAAATAATAGTTACAGATACAATTGCAATTCTCAAACCACATTCATGTGATGATCTTCACAGGCTACTCTATCTGGTAACTCTTGCAGGTCCATAGGGGAAAGCTGTGTATTTATGAAAATGCCCACCAAAAAATCAAGCTTCACAAATTTTAGAAGAATAATCCATGTTAAAATGTTAATTATCCACATCTTGGGTTATGTGAATAAATAGCATTTTCTTTTATCACTTGTTATTTTGTGTTTAAAGCAACCTGTCATCTGGCCAGGTAGAGGACAAAATCCTGAAGTTCTTTTTGGTTGTACTGGGTACAGGAACACAGAAGGGGGAGGGAATAGCAGCTTAAGATTCTGTTTTCACAATTTCCTAATTCCTGAGGCTTTGATGACCAATTCACTTCCCTGAAGTAGGAGAAAATAGCTCTGGGCTATAAAAGTAGGAATAACAGTACAAAGTATGTAATTGCCAGACTGCAAGATCTGAGAGCTGTGTCTTGCTCCACTGTTTGAGTACCCTGAGATTCTTCCTGCAGACCTCTTGCACTAATTATTAAACTGGAAGCAACTGAAACAGAGATAGCCAGAGGGGATTTCCTATTAAAAGATGAACATTTTTCTTGCCTCTTCAGAGCTGGATTTTTGCAGAAGCCCAAAAATGTTATTGATTTGTCCTAATATATGAGACACCCTTTATTTGCCAGTACCAAAATAAATTGTTTAACAAGTAGGCTACATTTGTATATCTAGACATATCAGACGAATAGTTAGAAGTGGCAGATGTTTTTTTAGAGATCAAGACAAGATGATGAATCATTGAACAAAAGAATAAAAAAGGTCAAACGGCCAACAATTATCCAAACCATTTCTCCATCTGTGAGTTCTACTAACAGATCCCTAGGTGTTGTGAGTAAAATAGTCGTGTTTGATCATTTCCTGAACTCTTTTTTCCACAAAACTTCCATGTTGTATCCCCAGCTATTCTGCCTCACTTTTAGCGGTAGCCAGGCATAACTTGGATCCTCTTCCATACCAGGGAAAACTTATCAGGCTCCAGAAGTAGGTTCATTACATCATACACCCTGTTCATCCCAAATGCAGTACTGTAATAAAAACTGTAGAAATAAAGCCAGTGGCTTATGGCAGCTATTTCTATACGCTTTGAAACAAGGCTGTCTGCATTTGAAAGAATGGTTTCTGTTGGCAGCTATCCACGGGTTGGATACAACTGTATAGACACACGGGGGTCACTGGAAAATATCAGCAGTTAGAACCAACAGTGAACAAAAGAAATTACACTACACCTGGCATATATGGCACCATCACCTTCCCAACTACACTTATTGGCATTCAGATCACAAAGTGTATTTCATATTTCTGAAGAATAACAGAAAGGAAGCTAAAAAGAGCACTGGAAATACACTGTCAGGAAAGAAATCTTTCAGCGAAGAACAGCCCAAGTCAGTGCTGAAATTAACCAAGCCACTGGAGAGACACTTTAGACCAGACAAAAAGGGTCATATTTTCAAAGCTTTTACATGGCTGAATTGGGTTTTTGTGCCCAAAGTGGCAGATGAAAGTAGAAGCTGTGTCCACTAATCATTTTTAAAGTAGTAAAAACAATGTAAATAGGCAAAAAATCACTTGGGCCGCTGAAGTTTGCCAGAGGCATATCAACAAATGTTTGAAGAAGGAATTAATGATGGAAATTTCATGTGCCCAGAAGGTGATCTGAAATGATCCTTGGACAGAATCTGAAACTGCAGCAGTCTGTACTGAGCTGGAAAATCTAGAAATTCTAGTCCTGTCATGTCTTAAAGCACCAAAATTAGCTTCAGAGAAGATTGTTGTAGAATGCAGTTAGAGATAACCGAAACATGAGGCAATTGCAAGCATAAGGTAAGGAGCATTCCTGGCAGAAGGAGAAGAAGGGGAGAAAGCAGGCAGGTTCCTCAGGGGTGCTGAAGTTGCAGGAGGATATACTACAACCTCCCTTTCCCGGATACATGGTGCAAGAAGCGTATCAGTACAAAGACTGGGCTTGGCTGCACTCAGGGTTGCAGCAGAGGACTAAGTTCAGACGTCTCAGGTCTTCTGTATTCTTACATTAGCAATCTTCTCAAGATTTTGACACTTGGCGTTGATATATAAGCACTTTAGGGAGGTAGTTTTGTGATCCACTGTTACAATGAGGTACATAAACAAGCCAGTTTTCAGTAGGGAACAAGTTCAAAGGCACAAAGGGTCATTAAGACCTACCAGTCCCTGAAAAACAAAGGATGCCTTGGAAATACGTAATTTTGTAATCAGAATATTCTGTTTCCTTGGTCAAACCACTTCCTGACTAGCACTGCCCACCTTGGGGATTTTGATGTCACCCTGTTGACCTCTGGCACATACATAGCTCCAGTTTCCTACTCTACCTAACTATCTATTTCTGGGCCAATTTCTGGATTCTGGGTTAATGCAAGCAGCAGTCAACAGGTGGCTCAAACTCAGTATTAATTATTTTCTAGTATTAGACCTAGATTAACAATGAGGATGTGAAATTTTGACCAAGTTTACCATGCAATTTAAAATTGATTTTGTGCCATATTCACTTCCATTAATATTTCCATTTTTGGAGAGAGAAATGCTTACCTGTTCTGGCAAATAACCCCTTTTTAATGCAGTCCAGGCTTTCTTGGCAGAGCTCACTGCCTAGCTGGCAGGCAGCCCCAGATTCACACGGAATTCCACAAAGGACAAAATGCCAACTTTTCATCATCAGCAGGAAAGCTTCAGAGTATGAACTTTCCATTTAAATTACCGTCCCCTCCTAAATGCCAGCTCAACAGATTACAAGAAAGAAGCACATACTTCACACTCTGGTAGAAAATTGTCCAGTGTAAGTTTTCAAGCAGGCTTGGGAGCCAACCAATCACAATGTTTTGTCAAGTTCTGCTTCAGAGTGAAATTCAAGCCAGAAGAATATTTACTAGAGATGTTAAATTTAGTCACTTTAAAATGTTTTTGCACATAGGGCCAAATTCAGCCTTGGCTGCCAGAGTTAATGAAAGCAGACATGCATCCTCTCTGTGCCTTTGTTGCAAGGTCCCGCTGGGCAGAGCACACTAAGGACTGCACTTCTCTGTTTCCTCTACGCAAAGAAGAGCATGACCCTGTCTGTGACTAATTATCACTTCTCATAGACCACAGCAAACTGCTGTACCATGTAGAGCTAAGAGACACTCCCCAAACCTGTATACAGAACAGAGTTACCATGATGATAGACTGACTTATATGTCCCATGGAAACATCCTACCTGGCTCCTTGAAAAGGGGTGGGATAAAGGAAGAACTAGACCCTCACTTGTTGACTCCAGAGAGTTTCGTGCTTGAAGGAATTATTACTTTCTCTGACTTCAAAAGAACTTTCAACTGAATGCAGTTATGTTGGAAATAAGCTGCAAGATATAGGATACTGAATTCAAGGAAAGCTTAACCCAGAGGGTTTTTAAATCTCAGCAGTGCCTTTTCAAAAGTAATGTAGAGGAAAGAAACCAGAACCTATCCTTGCATGTAGAGAGCAGCCTTCCTCAGCACCACCTGGCACCAAAAGGCATAGCAGAGGTCTTTATAGCACTGAAGCTAGGGTGGACAAAATAGCGTGGAATTTCCATTCTCCAGGACAAAGACTTTGGGGAAAAACCTCTATATTCAAGCCAGTTTTCACACACTCCTTGGAATAACATATAAATCTTAACATTTTATGATTTTCTTAATTGAAGCAATATACATATATAGGCTTTAAAAATAAGTATTTGAAACTATGCAACCAACCTGTGAAAAACTGTAAAATCATTTAAAGAGTATCACAATAAATGAGATGGTTTAATTTTAAGCACAAGAAATCTCAGAAATACTTAGGTTTAAAAGCAATGTCTCTTTTCTAATTATCTAAATCCATAATTTCCTTTGTTTTGACAGATGCTCTTTTAATGGACCAGTTCTCAAATCACGTTGAGAAAATTCAGGGATATTTTAAAGCAACTGATGCTCACCCCACCTTTTTACCTTTCAGAAGGATTTCTATGTTTTCATTTTGGATTTCAAGGGAATCCAGCTGCTTAATCTCTTCTCACCTTTTAGGATGATTTCATTCCAAGGAGATAACCTGCAGGGCTCCTAATTAGCTCTACAAATGGTCAAATGTTTTTTTTGTTGAAGTAACATGGAAATTTTCTGCTTATACAAAGAAACCTGGACAAGAAAACCTGAGATCTTGAAATCTTTGGGGTTTTTTAAAGGAATGTTATATGTAAACTTTCTAATTAATAATTTTGTCTTTATAAAATTTATCTTTCTAGTTTTCTCATCACAAAACCAAGACTGAGCCATTTTAGATACTATGGGGCATCTTGTCTGATCTCTAGTTGCCACTCAAAGAGGTTGTGTATCTCCTCTAAGTTCTGTGTTAGCTCTACCAGTCCTGGGCCTATGTCCTGAATACCCTAAGGTATTTAAAAAGGCACCAGGCACCTCTGTTTAGGGAATTAGAAATTCTTAGAAAGAAACAATGAACAACTGAAGTATCTCCAGTCAGAGGAATCCAACAATTATTTGCATTTCTGTCAAAATTTGAAAATACTGTTCTAAAGTACTTCAGTAGAGAAGTTCAGAAGTATTAACCACACATAGACGGGGTTGATAGCTGATTTAAATCCTGAGTTCTTCCAAAAAAATGGACCTTTTAAACAGTTTTGGTTTTGTTAGTCTTCAAAATAAGCAACTATATGCAGGAATTTCCTGTGCCATACTCAAATTTTTTAAAGAAGATTAACTTGACAGTGTATTTTATTCCTAGAGTCTCCACTTGCGTTTGTTAAGAAACGAGTGCAAAATTATCTTGCTAAACAGATCGCTGCGCTGCAGGCCACATAAAAGTAAGGGCAAAATATATCTATTTTGGATGTCAACCTGTTTACCTTCTTGGTGTTCAGAGACAAGTTAAGAAAATTAAGTATTCTTCACTTGTAAGTTTGATGCTACCTCTACGTATCAGACCAGCTCTCCATGGAAGCTGGTAATAGAACATATGAAACAGTGAATTTCTGTATTGAAAAGTCTTGGCCAAAAACAATAAAAGAAAAGAAGAAGTTCTCAAGAACTCCTGCAAAATATTATTGAATTCTAATCCTCAGCACATGAATAAATACATCTGACAAACTGCAGAGTAACTTCCAAAGGCCTTTCCCAACCCTTCTAATTTGAGTTCAATTGTATGTGTAGTATTTAGAAATGGAATTTCATCTTGCCAATGTTTTTAAACCCGGGTTGTACTACATACCATTATTTGTAAAAGTGAAGGGCAGATAACAGGTTATAATTATCCTATAAATCACATGTAAAGAATTATATTAAAGGAAGACTGCATCCCCAAATTACAATAACTGGTTGTTTGAAGAAAAATATTTTTTTTTCTGTCCTTGGCAGGAACATGCTTGGAGTTTGTTGTGTACGTTGATGAATACTATGCTGAAATCAAGCAATGTATATTTGCTACAGGGTGTGAAATACAGACTACCATAAGTCTACAGAGGTCAATAGATGTGCTACCTAGGTATCAGAGTTCCTCATTAGTGTCTATTCTTTGGCAACAACTTTATTTATTCTTTTAAGCAAAACCCAGTTTCTTATGGTAGTGCTGTTAACAGCACCTGCTCAGGAGTCTTCTTCTCTTCTTAGTGGCCATAGCAAATTTTCTTTATGAAATTCTGCCACAGTAGGCCATTTGATTTATGTCTCTGGAGACAAAACTGTGAGTAGCGGCACATGAGAATAATGCTTATTGCTTGAGATGTTTCAAGTTATTAATGATCATATTCATTTACAAGTGAATTAAAAAAATACAGTGTGGTTACATGATTACATTCTTCTGTTTTCTGAAAATTTTTTTGCTGTATTTTACAAACAAATAGACACATAGTTTACCTAATTTCCTGGTCTCTACAAATTCTAAAATAAAATGGAAGAAAGTCTCTACTCTGATACACTTATCTCCTTCCTTTTCCTCAGAATTGGCATTTTTTCTTGGATGATGGCTAGCCAGTGACTGCAGAAATAGTAGTTGGGTGTGATGTCGTTTTAAAAAAAACAAGGTTGTTTTCACAAATGGGTAGCACCACCAAATGCTTGTAACTGGATAGAAGGATCCAGGCATCTGCAGAGAAGACGACACATCATAGCATCAATACTGTGTCATTTGTATTAGTCCCAAAAGGGTAAAAATTTCAGAGAATGGGTTTAGAAGGGTTATGAAAAGCAACTGGTGCCATAAGATACTATCACAGGGAAGAAGATAACAGAGAATGTCAATGAAAGTGCCCTGGAATGGCAGCTGATGAGGAAGACAACACTGCATTTACTAAGATTATCAAATGCCTCAAACTAGGTTTTGTAACCCATATTTCAGCACCTAAATAAAAGGACCAGTATTGAGCTGAGCATCTATTTTAATAGTGCATGTCACCATGCTCTCCTTACGGGATTTGTTGTAGGTGATAGTAGATAAAATCCTACGAAACCCCCCTTTTGTGTGTGTGTGGACATGTCTATGCCTTTATGTTTCTGAGAATATTTTTGGAAAATATATCACTTTAGTCATTGAATGTATAAGCTAAAAGATAATTAGCATAAACATATTTTCCTCAATGGGCCATAAAGATTTTTTTAAAAATAATAATTTAAAAAGATTTAGAAAACATTCAGCAAACATTTAGAAAATCCTTTTCTCTGATGTCCATTACAAGACACATTACTTCACATGTATGTACATAGGTATGATGTCTTGAAGTGCAAGCAACCCGGCAGACTAGCTTGTGATTTGGCACTAATACATTTGATTGGAGAGATTATATAGTTATTACCACCTCCCCTGGGGAAAAAACAGAACAAAACAAAACCAAAAAGTAACACACTGTACTTCATAACAAGATCTGTCGAAATTCATGATTTATAGTAAAGGCTTTTGTCCATTCTTAAGTATTTTGTCTACGCCCTCAGCAAGTTTATATTCCTTCTCAACATATTTGTAGGAGAAAAGATAATTTCTAATGGACAACAAAACCAATTTTCACCAGTATGAATGCTTGTGTTTGTGTACATAAATAGGATGTCCTCATATTTTCTTAGTCTGATAGTCCACTCTCAAATGATTTAGATAATTTATACAGTATCTGACAAATCTTGAACACTCCACTGAAATTCCACACAGATCAACGTGAATCTTCATTTATAACTTTTTTTGAACTCTTGGACACATTTTATTAATGTTCTTCAATATCAAAAACCTCTGAAATATGTTCTTTCACATGCCAAATGAAGTGTCAAAAAACTGCAAAAAAAATGTGTCTTTGCAAATATTCAGTTTCTAAGATTGCCAGATACCTTGCAAAAGCCATTTTCTTTCTATGATAGCTGGCTGGAAGATTTGATACTGATAGATAATATTCACACCAATGACTGCCAATGATGTAAAGTCTGGTACGCAGCACAAGATCACCCAAAGCAATTTTGAGGTATTAAATCTTACTCAGAACTGGGAATAATTTAGGCAACCGCTAAGGGTTTTTATATAATTGTCTAATTTAGAGCCATTTATCCAAACCAGCCCATCTGAGGTTGGCTGATTTCTAATTGGTCAAACTGCATGGGTTTTATACCAAATGAAAAAAAAAAAAAAAAAAAAAAAAAAAAAAAAAAAAAAAAAAAAACAACGGTAGGTTTTTAAAACAAAAAAAAAAAAAAAAAAAAAAAAAAAAAAAAAAAAAAAAAAGAAGAAGACTAATGCTATTGTTATTAAAAGAAAATCAACTATAGGATTTTCAGCAAACTTGGATCATTCTCTCCACCTACTATGATTTATGTTTTACCTCATTTCCTAAAAGGGCGTTTATACAGGCTTCAGATGCATCACAGATGGCAGTAAGGTCATGTCCTCCCTCCAGCGCCAGCACCACACGGCCATCCGCCAGCTTCAGCAGTTGCTTGGTGAGGTGACCAAAACCTAGTGGTAGAAATAATTAAAGCAGAACAGATATTACCAGCATATTTCACATCTGCTGCATGAGAATGTAGAAAGCTCACAGATATTGCACAGGGAGCATGGGATATATTTAGCCCAGTATCCTGTTTCTGACTGTGGCCCACACCAGATGCTTTGGAGTTAGGTATACGGAATTTTGTATGAGGCAGATGTGAGATAACGTCCCTTTTACTCATCCTTAAGGGCTGGAGATAAGTTGAAACATGAGGTTGTCTCACTTCTTATCATCACTAGCCATTATTATCCCAGATTCTCTTCCTATTTGCACATCAGTGTCACATATACTCATGTTATTTACAGAGATTTGACATAATTCTGATCACTTATGGCATCAATCCAACAAATAATATTTGTAGCTAAACTATACTATAATTAAAATTAGCTTTATTTTTTAAATTAATATTTTATTTAAAAATTGCTTCTTCCATTGTATTTGGGGTTTCAATGTAACGTACAACCACGGAGTGAAAAATAGTGGAAACATATGTTACTCCTAAGCTCTATTTTGAAGTGGATTTGGAGGCAGCACTATCAACTGGATAACTTATTTTGATACAAGGTTTTGGTATAAGCTGAAACTGTCAAGAACTTTGTAGATATCTCTGCCAGTGTTGTTCACTCCTGACAATGTTCTAAGCAATTCTGCACCACAGCCAAAAATGATAGTACTTCATTTAGTTTGGTGATCTGCAGCTATACAAACACTACCACAAAGTTTCCATCTGTGATTCAAGTAAAACTAATTTATTTCATTTTTAGTGACAAGAAAAATTTCATGAAAAGTTTTTACTTTAGAGAGACAGTTTTGGAGAGAAGTTTTGCAGTAGTTTCAAGCAATAGGACAGCTATTGTTTTTTATTAATCTCCTTTAAGTGAATAGTGATCAGTAAAGCTTTGAAAACGTTGAGTTAAATACCCTTCACATCTTGTTCTTTACTACTTGGTCTGTTCTTGGTCCTCTACTGATGATCACTACTCATTCCAGTGCATTTCATAGTCTTAAAAAAAGCATTTTAAAGGTACCTGCTATAGCTAGGGACTCTACAAAGACAGGAAAATCAACATTTTTTTATTATGTTCCAGTGAAGAAGGTCACAATAATTAAAAAGTACAAAAAATACAAGCATATTTTATAGAAGAACTTTCCAAAACATAAACTTAAGTCTTGATCTGCCAAGTAAGCAAATACACTTAGTTCTGTTTACATCTTAGGACCTTGTTAAGCACGTGTCCAACTGTTTTTAGAACAGGGACTTTAATGATAACAGATTTGGTTTAGCTGTTCAGAAAAGAAAAAAAAAAGTTACAGAAGTAAGTTAAAAAAATAGCTTTATTTACCACTTAATCTATAGACGAGCACAGAACTCTGGGTGAAATATTGCTTCTTTAAGCCACTCCTCAATCTTCTGTACCCTCTAAGAACTGCACGTTTGATTCTAGCTAAGTAACTATACTGCTGCTCAAATTACATACAGGGTTGAAAAACAAATAAAATCTTCAACTCTCATTTAAGCTCAACCTTCCCTTATGAAAAAAACCCCCACAACCCAATCATCTCTACAAAAGACCAAATTTAGACAGGATAATAAAAGTGAAGGAAGGAGTGGAATGAGGATAACCTTTGATCTTTAGCCAATTTCTACTTACTTTTACCTACAGGATTTATTTCTGTCTGCATGTTACATGTGATCTTTGGATTCATAAGAAAGTGCCAGCAGCGTAAAGTGAGTCGAACACACAGCATTTAAAGGAAATGAAGAAGAATGAACAGGCACAGACTCCCCACATCCACAAAACCTACAACTCACCCTTCAGGTCTGTGAGAAATCCAACAACACTTTTAAGACACCATTATCCTTTATGTTATGCAGCTTCTGTGAAGAAGGGAAAGCTCTACTATGTTTCCCCTGCACATTTTGAAAGAATTTGTATGACCGCAAATGTTGCTACAGCCACATTGTAATTTTCTGAGGTATGTGTGGCAATAAATGTAAAGACTCACTCAATGCCTTTTTCTTCTTTTAGGCAACTACACATAACTCCTAGACGTTGTTACAATGTTAGTTTGCCTGCTTTGTTTCCTAATGATTTTCTAGTATCAATGTTATAATAATCATCCCTGTCTGATTCAGGATCCATGCAATGAGCCATACAAGAAAGCATCTTTCCCAACAGATACCGTGGTAACAAGATAGTGTCACCTAATCAAATCAACATGATGGGGGCTTTTCCTCAGTGTTACTTCCCTGAGAAAGTAAAAGTGACTTGCTAGAGAGGAGGAAATAACTTCAGGCAACAGCACCAACATCACCGGTGACCAAATGAGTTATGGAAATTCTTAGCAAGGAAACTTGGTGTTGTGGTTTGGGGCAACAAAAGGAACAGCCACATGGCTGCTCACTCAACTCCCCACACACACATACACAAACTGGGATGAGGAGGACAAAGCTCCTGGGTCGAGACAAAGGGCAAGGAGGGTTCTTCACCGATTAAGTTCCCGGGCGAAACAGACTCAATTTGGGGAAGAAAAAATATTTAAATTTCATGCAAATCAAACACACACAGGACACAGACAACATAAAGAGCAGGGCTTGTGTATGTTACCCCACCCCTCCCTTCTTCTCGGGCCCAAATCATTTTGTTCCCAGTTTCTCTCCCTCCTTTCCCCCCAGCAGCACAGGGGGACAGGGGATGGGGTTTAGAATGAGTTCACAGGCTGGTGGTTCCTGCTGCTCCTTCCTCCTCAGGAAGAAGGATTCCTTACAGTCCTCCCCTGCTTCCCCACGGGGTCCCTCCCATGGGACAGAGTCCTCCACAAATCTCTCCTTCATGAGTCCAGAGCAAGCTGCTCCAGCCTGGGCTTCTCACAGTCACGGGTTCCTTCGGGAACAAACTCCCTTTGCGCCGGGATCTTCCAAAACTGCCTAATCACAGTCCACTTGTAGCACATCAGAGTCGACTGGCCAAGTTCACCCCTCCTGACTCCCCCAGGGAATGTTCCACCATGTTCCTCCATGAGTGCAGGGGCACAGCTGCCACCTCGCCATGGGTTGCAGGGAAACTTCTGCTTGGGCACCTTCTTCCTCGTCGTCCTCACCAACGACCAGCACCGCTCTGCTCTCCTCCTCCAGCACAGCTCTATTCCCCCCAGGTGCCTCTCTGCTCAGGTATTATAGATGTTCTTTCGTATGTTAATTGCTGAGGTGCATCTATTGTCCTTCTAATGGGTCTTTGGCTGGGTTTTGGAAGCAGGGGGAGCTTCTCAGCTTCTTACAGGAGCCACCCCTGGGGCCCTTCCCCCACTACCAAAAACCCCACCAAATCAAACCAGAACACTTGGATCCTGTGTCACTGCAGCAACCTAGGAAAGATATTAGCTTCCTCAAGGAAATCCCCTGGAGTGCAGAAGTAACAAAATGGGAAAAAAAAAAGGAATCCCAGTCAAGTAATAGTTTTAAGATGGGCTGTAGTTCATGTCAATTAATTAAGAAAAACAAGAAGGAAATAGTAACAAGCACCATGAAAGGAATCAGTCATCTCCCCTGATATGAGAAGAACCAACTCTAAGGTGAGAAAGGAGTCAGACAAGCACTCTGAATCCTCGATTTTCCAACTCACATGCATTTCTAGAAATCAGCAGCAGTTCTTGGCCCTTCTACTGTGTCTGCTGACAAAGTTGCCAGCTCAGATACTGGCTTTCAGGTTTTTTTGTTTGGATTTACTATATTCTAAAACTGTATGCTTTTGCAGTGGCACATAACAGTTACAGATTAGTGGCATTTCATAAAAACTGAAAAAGTTCAAATATAAAATGGAAAGTAATGTAAAAATATCAGTGCTTGATTTTCAGTCCAGCCTGAAGTGGGCATTGCTTCTTTGAGGCTGCAGGTGCCTTTGGGCCATTTTGAATATTAGTGCCTTACTCAATGACAGACATCTATTAATCAGGGCTTGAAGTGGCCCTTTCAGTATCCACAGTTATTTATTTTCATAAACATGAGTAAGAATGTCACATATTAATAATAATAATAAAATTAAATAATATTTAAAATTAAAATAATTTCAGTCACTAAGTGAGAAAGGATGATACATACAAGTGTATTTCTCAATCTTTTTGTAAATGTGCTCAATTAATTTGTTCTGCAGAAAAGTAGCAGAGTTTTGTTGTTTTTTTTTTTAAATTAGACTCATGCAGTGTGCCAGGAAATTATGAGCATGATTTTCTGCCAACTGTAATTTTAATAATTTCTGTAATTTAAATATAAAAAGTACCTGTTTCCTGCACAGATCCAATGTTTGAAACTCAAGGTAGATCTTGCAAAAGCAATTAACACTCATTTGCTACAATCCTAGTAAATCTTCAATTTACACAAGAAACAAAAATAAACACTACTAGGTAGTTCTGAAAATACTACTTACCAACTGGTTTACATTTTCCTGACAAAACACCTGTGAGTGCACAATTGCACATCTGAGCAAAAAAAGATTAAACCATTATGAACAATGTTATGTCTTAGAGAAACACAGTATATGAACTGTTATCTGCTGACCTTTGAAGTAAAATTATAAACTTCTGAAGAAACAACATAGCAGTGTATTTTTTATTGATATCCCTTCTCCTCCAGTACTAGAGGAAATGCAATATGGAGCCTTACATAAGAAAATATTCTATTGTGGGAAGGCAGAGAGAGAGAAAATGAATACTGTGTTATAATCCTGAGCAAGCTGCCAGGCTGTTAGTGCAGGACAGTGTGCTGATCAATTGAATCACCATGTAAGCTTTTGATAGACTCATCTCCCAGTATAGCACTAAGAGCCCTTTTTTAAATTTATTGGTTTTTTGTAACAAATGAGCTCCCCATGTGCTCCTTCTGCTTCTGCCAAACAGCAAGGAATGACATAGGTGAAGCTTTTGCCTTGTTTGACCAAAGTTGCTGGAGCAACTATACTATATCTGGACT